GGACGGGGAGTGGCTATGGATGAGATCCATACAAGCCTCTGCTGACGGACGGGGAGTGGCTATGGATGAGATACATACAAGCCTCTGCTGATGGAAGGGGACTGGCTATGGATGAGATACATAAACTGGGAACTGCCCCAAGTATCTCCTGTACAAATCCCTCTTGTTCTTGCAATACCTCCTCCCTGAAGCCTGCCTTGAGCTCTGCAGCTCCCGAGTGGGAATTTGTCTCCCCTCCTGGTAATTTTTCCCTTACAGCCTGAATACTTTGTAGCCTCTATCTAAGTCTCTGAAACAGCCTTCTCTCTCCTCGGATAACTAATTCCAGGGCAGGAATGGGTCTCGTCCAGCTTCATGACCCCGTGATACGCAGCACATTAGATATCAAATAGACACTTGTTCCAAGTAGAAATAGAGTGCTAGATTTAGCCTTGCAAATAAAATGTGAGTTTTCTGTGTCGTTTTCAATTGCAGACTCGGGACTGCTTAAAGGAGCCCTAAGGAGCTCTGGTAGCAAAGTGGTTACAAGTCGGGCTGCGAATCTCAAGGTCAGCGGTTAGAAGCTACCACAGGAGAAAGATGAGGCATTCTGCTCCGGTAAATATTTACAGCCTGGGAAACCCTGTGCAGGGTCACTATGAGTCAGAACCAACTCCCCGGCACACCACCACCACCAAATGAGCCCTGGTGGTTCTTTGGCTAAAGCGCTCAGCTAATCAAAACGTTAACAGTTTAAACCCACCAGCTGCTTCTGTACAGACTTGGAAACCCTATGGGATGGTTCTACTCTGTCCTATACGGTTGCTATGAATTGGACTACCTTAGGAATTGTGGATCTGAAATAGGGCATGTTCATTTAGTTCAATAGTGAAGACCTTAATTGTCTTAACTAGAAACAGTGGTTCCACTTATATTTCAACTGTAACCATATTTCTCTCCGTGTAGAGTAAAAGGATGCTCCCTAGCACCAAGGAGTTACATGTGATTTATGAATACCAGTGTCCTGGTGTGGCCCTATAGGATAAGCACCGGACCACTAACCACAATGTTGGTGGTTCAACTCACCAGACACTCCTTGGACACTTGATACAGGGTTGCTGTGGGTCGGAACCAACTCAATGGCCCTTAACAACAGTGCGTCACTTCTTGTCTGTCATCTCTGTGATGGGCAACCTTCGTACATGTATGAATTTGGACAGAAGAGAATTTATTTTTATTTTTTAAATGTTTGCCCCCTCTTATCAACTCAGGTCCAATGAACCCACAGAGAAAGATCTAGGTGGGAAAACAAATCCACAGAAGCATAACACTGGCTTTTGGAGAATAAGAAATCGTAATCAAACCAAAGTGGTCCTCTTGACTTTAAGAAGAATATATTCATGTATGATACGATGGCTTCCATAGTAGAAACTCAAGCATCTGGCCCCGAAGCACCAAATGCTTTGATCACACTTGGAATCACCAATCGTCTATCTGGGTGAGAAAATCCCATGTTACAGTGAAGCCAGAAGCATGTTGGGGGGTGATTTCTGCCACTGCCAGCCAAGGGTTTTCAGTTGGGGGCCTCACTGCTTTTCTTTTACATGTTGTAGTTGTATCATAGTGCAGGGCTGAGCAACACTGACACAAAGGAAAGCTACATCCTGTCCTGGGTACGTAGGGGGCGTGATAGAGGTAAATAGGAAAGGGACATATCAATCTGCCTGGTTCCTGTATTCTACAGGCCAGTACTATAGTTTTCACAAATAACACACTCACACAAATAACGTGTGCAGATAATGAAATTCAGTTAGCACATCTCTGGTACCATGCATGTTTTGCAATAGCCCCAGAAGTGAATTTTGGCCTCCTTCATTCATCCTCCTAGATAACAGATACATCACTGTTCTGTTCATTTTCTTTATTCTCTGTCCAAAATATGCTACTTTTGTTTATAATTATTTAATAAAAGTATAAACCATGGTCATGAAGTCAATGCTCTATCTTGATGGGCCCCGTGTAATCCAAGAACAGACCATCGAATCTGTGCATTTGCTACTATTAATTCGATCATTGTAGCTCATTCATTAAGTCAATAGTTGAATGCAGAAACCTTATCAGATCATCTTAAGTGAAACCAATAGGTTAAATCTGCTTATTTCATAGTTTAATTATATCTACATAGTGTCATGTGAAATCAGAAACATTTTTTGTGGTTTAAATTCGTATAGCACACTTACGGAAAGAATGGGCAAGAAGAGGGGTGGGTTTTGCACAGTTTGCAAATACATACCATGCTCTCATTATTTGTGGGGTGGGAGGTAATCCTGGGGACTTTGGTGTCATAATTTCCAAACAGAGCATTGGTTAGACCAAAGACCATAGCTTTATATTGGATACATGTCTATAAGCCTGTGTGTCAAGGGCTGGAAACGTCACTTGTAATTCTTTACCTCCTAGACTCCAGACCAAGGGGACTTTGGGGCAAGACTGAGGCCAAACCAGCAGGGGGCAGTCTTTCCTCAAAGAGAAAACCAACTTTCAAAAAGGAGCGTTGAGGACTTGGAGAGGTGAAGGGAATGAAGTGTTTTGGGAAGAAGGAATGGAAAATTGCTGACTAAGAATTTGAATGAGGTAACTTTTTTTTATTTTCCAACCAGTGTCTCCCTGATTCTAGGTTATAGAGAGAGATTCCTTAAAAACTAACCCTTAACTTGGACTTTACCAATGTATACCATTGATTCTCTAGTTGCTGTAACTGCTGTTGTTGTTAGGTGTTGGGTCAGCTCTGACCCCCATCCTGCACTGTCCTCACAATTTGTTGTTACATTGGAACCCCCAGCTGCTGCCACTGTGTCACTCCATCTCCTTGGGGGGTGAGGGGGGCTTTCTCTTTTTTGCTGACCCTCCACTTTTCCAAGCATGACTTTCTGTTGTAATAAGCTACTTTAAAAAGTGCCCAAACATGGCAAATCTTTGGGCATTGTTTAATGTGTGGTTGTTAAGATATTCATCCTCAACTTAATA